CATCATGATCGTCTTCATCATCATCATTATCATCATAGTTACGCTAATGCGCATATTTACAGAACGTACAATCAATGTTAATTACGAGATAAAATTGAATGTATAAAATATATAGTGAATTGAAAATATCTTGGAAATATATTAATTATATCAATGGGAAATATCTTAATACACACGCGAAGCACGCACGTTCGTGCCGGCGGCAGCGTGCGATACCCACGCGCGCTGACTCATCGCCGTCAGCCGTGATCGCTCTGCGCATGCGCGCGACGTGAGCCGACGGAAGAACTTAGCGGCGACGATGGTGCGGAGATGTTCCGTACCCTACACGTCGGCGCTCGCCCCATCGTACGATTCACTCTGCGCGAGACGGCTCGGCTGCTCAGGGTTCCTCACACATTTACTCATGCATTATGAATACGCCATTACTCCCATGTACACGTAGCATAGCATATAACACAATAGATATATACAAACACATACAAGTACAGTTTTGTTTGTATATATATATATGGAATGTTATCCAATCACAGAAGTTAAAAGTCCGAAGAAAAAAACACGTATAAAACTTTTGCTACGTAAAATTTTCTCACACCGCGAATGCACACGCACGCACGCACGCACGCACGCACGCACGCACGCACGCACGCACGCGCACATATTCATATATAGATTAGATATACTCGCCTCTCTCCGTTACTTCCTCTTCCTCACTTCCTTACTCCCCTCTCACGGATAGTATCGCCCATGACCAGTCAAGCGTTAAAAATCTTTCACGAGGAAATGGTCGTATTTGGGCTCCAACTTTTTCACTCTCCAAAGCACAAAATGTGGATATACGGCTATACTACGCGTTTTTACAGTCGCAAAATCACACATACATACACGCGACCGGGCGCGCACACGCGGGTGTGGTCGCACGCGCGCGTGCGCGTGTATTATAGGCGTAAATTCGCATTTTGTGCCTTGGCGGGGTGAAAAGTTCTAGCCGAAATACGGCGATTTTCTAGTCAAAGATTTTTAACGCTTGACTTGGCATGGGCGATACCATCCGTGAGAGGGGAGTAAGGAAGTAAGGTTTGACGACGACTACACCACGTACAAACTCTACGACAGATGGCGCTCTCGCTCTGGCTCATTTGGCTGTATCATGAGTTATACGAAGGGGGCGCTGCATGCAGTTTGCGCAACGTATAGTAAAAAAGAACAAATATAGATAAAATCGATCGCAAAATTAATTCCAACGTACAAGCGAGAGAGAGAGATGGTGTGTTTGCAGTGCTAGCCGAAGAGATTGATGGAACAAATAGAACCGCTCACTTCATAACTGAATGAAACTGGCAGGAGAATCTCGACTTCTATTGACATTTAAGATGTGGTATTCGCCGTACCGACGAACGCCAAGAATCCAGAAGCTTACGCTAGCATAATCAATTAATCGATTTTCTATCCGAAATGACATTTAAATTCGTTTAAATTTCAAATTAATGTAATGTATAGTCAAGAACGCCTTCAGTGTGTACTACCGTGACCTGTGGCGTTTATTATTATTAGTCTTATTAGTGTATTATTATTATTATTATTATTATTTATTATTGCATGTTATCAAGAGCGTATAAAGAAGGTATTTCCTTCTTTATACGCTCTTGATGTTATGTATGTATCGATGGATGTACAGGCGCTATCGCTATTTATAATTTACGAAATGACAAATTTACGAGAAGAAAAACGAAGAACGCACCGCTCGACTAGTCACACGTACAAACTACGTGCATGGTAGTTAATATTTTATTATCTAAAACAAACTCGCTCGCACATGATTTCGTAAGAACTATACCATGTCTACAATCATATACATCACTACTGGGGACCGCGTGCGTATAACTATGGTTGGCCATCGTACTCAGAATTAGTATTGTTTGAAGTAGTTGAAATAATTTAACCGCGTTACAATTATTAGCCTTTTACCCAATCAGTGGCCTTGTTACACATAATTTAACTGCGGTAAAAAATAATCTATCCGCGGTTAAATTACGTGTAACGAGGCATCTGATTGGGTAAGAGGGCAATAATTTTTGCCGCGGTTAAAGTATGGCCCTTTTTACCTTTTTTACACACGCCTACATACACGCGGGTGCCCCCCTCAAACAGACTAGACGTCTCTACAAACATACTACGCATTCTACACACACGGCAAGAAAAAGAAAGCAGTAAATAATGAACACATTATAAATTGCAGACGCGTTCACGCACGCGTTCCTACAACACCAGACTGATCACGTCCCGTATTTACACATTTATGTTACCATAACGCCGGATACAATAAACAAACAAACCAACAAACAAACAAACAAACA